TCTGCCGCCTCGAAATCTAGACTCGGGCGGAACGATGATGGCACGACGAACTCCTGGTCAGCTACTATTTCATGGCGACGTCCTTTAGGGCGACGTCCCTTGTTACCGCACGCGTTGCGGGTACGTGCCGACGATGGGGGAGGGGACGAAATACCCGGCGATTATTCTACGGAGATCCGGGCCGTGGACGAGAAGGTCGAGGCTGTCGAGGAGGATATCCAGGCTGTCGCGCGGGAGATCGGTTCCGTGGGGAAGAAGATCGAGGCGGTGGAAGCTGCACTCTCTGGGGGAATTCCTTATCTCGGGATCGCTGACCGCGACCTCCTGNGGAGCGGGGCTGGCTTTAATCCTTGCACATGGTAACACACAGCAGTTGAGGCCCGCGAACAGGAGACGTCAATCTAGCAACTTAGGATCAGGGCTTATGTACGGGTGACTTTTGATTGTGGGAGGAGGAAAGCTCACCGCGTACCGCGATGGAATTGAAGGCACGAATCAAAGAAGTCATGTCATGTGGCGCTGAGTGGAGAGGGCCCCGACCGTGTGGCTCTGTCTGTGACCCTGCGCTGGTGTTTCGTTTTCATCTGGTCAGGATGTCAGGATGCTCACCGTCTTGGCTTCATGTGTTTCGTCGACGATGACCCCCACTCAATGCCTGTACCGCACGCAACCTGTCGGCGTCATTTCTCGTCGAGTTCGCAAATGAGAACCATGTGTTGTACGCCGGTTGTTGTTGTGTCACCGAGGAGCTGCGTGTTGTACACCAGCTGTGGTGTTTTTGTTGGCGCGATTATGTTTCAGAAGTCAGGATCAGAGCTTCGTGTCCATACTCGCTTGCAATTCGATCCCGAAGGACCTCTGTTTTCATTCCCTGGCTACAGTAGCGAGGGTGGCAGCTGGGTTTACTCGTGCCTCTTCCATCAGTGGTGGTTGTTGGGGAGAAAAGTGTTCGTAGCATTGCGGAAGGTCGAGGTTTATTCAATCGTCTTGCGCATTCGGTCGGACTACACACTGGTGCGTACGTACTCCAACACCTCTGTGTGTGTGCTCCATACCCGTGAGCGTGTCCGCAGCATATTTTAGTATTTGTTTTGGCATAACTAGGTGACGTTTGCTTTGCGGCGCGGTCGTCAAAGACCCATCCGTTGCAACAATCCATGGGACTTGTTCGACGAAATATGGGCCCAATGTCTGCCGCATTGCCTCCACAGATGGCGCCGTGTTTTGATCATATGTCGATTTGTTTCTGCTGCGGTACTGCGGTGTACTCGAAATCTTGGTCATTGCTCTGGTTGTCAAGCGTTTACATGTAAGCTTCAAGAGAGAGAGCAAAAGGTGCAATCGTTTCACCCCCCCCTTTTCTTGGTGTTTTTCTACTCGTCGTTCAGTGGCCGCATCAATTGACGGGACCATTGAACAATGAGCCAACCGCTGACCTCTGCGGTCTATGCCTCGCGTGTCGTCGTTCCTTGTCATGTGGGCCCACTACACTATGGTCCGACGCACTTCCTGGATGACTTGGGCGGCAACTTTACATGATGGCCAAACGCAGGTGTGTGATCAGCTCCCTGTTTGGGTACCGGCGCATTTACATCACGTCGTACCGTTACTCCTTTTGTCTTGTCATTTGTCAGCAAAGCGGTGAAGATGACACGCAACGATAAGCGGGTCGCGTTTTTGACCCTCGTTCTTTGTCGGCCTCGTCGTCTGCCAGCGAAAGTAGTGATGTTGAAATCCCCATGGTGTGCGTGTGTCGATTTGATCACACGGCGCGTGGGAGTTCCAGTTTCAGTTTTATACGCCAGACGGACATTGCACGTTTCAAACTTCGTTGTGGAGAAGTACCTATGAAGGGTAAGGGGCAAAATACTGAGCTGAAAGCCAATACCGCGCTGGCCACTCCGTCCTTCCGATGTGCTGTCGTGTGTTTTCGAGCTTGACTTGTTATTGGTTTTTTGGCTAGTCGTCTGCCAAAGACATGTCTGGTGACGTCGATGCGGTTGTGAGAGGAAGTTCTGTGATTCGTCAGAGGCGAACGCCCGTCGATAGCGTTGTCTTCCTTCCATGCGCCGGTTGCTTTTCGTCGACGGCCTCGGAATTGTTTCTTCTCAGTGTGACCCAATGCCCATTCTTCTGCGGCCCCCGAAACATGGTTGTCTGCCCGTTGCAGTCCCTAAAGCTTTAGCGGATTTCGGCGCCGTGCTCACAAAAGCAGTGGTAGCCGACAACACCCTGGAACTTGCAGATGGGACGTTTTTCCTGGGTGAGCCTCGGCTGAGATCAAAGCTGTTCATCCGTCCTTGTTACAAGGACCTGTCGGAGCTCATCTTGGAAGGTGTTACCGACGGTACGATGGACAAAATTGTAGTGACAGGCACTCCCGGCATCGGCAAGTCCGAGTTTGGTTTCTATCTTATGTACCTGTTGCGCGGTCAAGGAAACACCGTTGTTCTTGAAAGAAAAGACTCCTGGTTCCGCTTTAGTGATGGAGGGGTAACCGTAGGAGATTTTTCTTCTTTCAGAAGGGCTGGTTACCTGTACGGTAACAGCACTTGGTATTTGAGTGACCCGGAAGATCGGCCTAAGGAGCTTTTGGGTCTTCCAACGGTTGTGTTGCTGTCGCCCAGGAAGAGCAGGGTTAACGAGTTTATGAAACAACCCGGTTCCCGTCGGTTTTATATGCCTCCGTGGTGCTTGGATGAGTTGTTCAGATGTCGGCAAGCTGTGTTCCCCCATGTGCCAGAAACCGACGTGCGGGAACGCTTTAGTAAGGTTGGAGGTGTGGCTAGAGCAGTCTTCGATGCGGAAAAGCTCAAGCAGGTTTGCCTCAAAATGCAGGCAGCGGCTTCAAATATGGATCTAAACCTGCTGCAACAGATTCTGTCGCGAAGTCGTGATGACGTTGACCAGGTCTCGACCGATAGGAGTGGTGACGCACTCTTGCATTTGTTGCCTATACCTGAAACAGGTTTCGAGGAGTTCAGTGTCGATTTTGCGAGTGAGTTTGCCCATAATGTGACTTTAGGAGAGCTTCCCAAAAAGGAATTTGCTCCACTTGCAAGCTTTGTCCGGGCTGCTTTCGCAAACGACGAATTGGGCGACAAGGTTACAGCTGAGCGCGCGGCTGGGTTTGAAACTATTGCACACAAGACGATCGGGGGCGCTAGCGAGCAGCAATGGTTTGACATGAGAATCCTGAGCCGTGCAAGTAGCAGCACAAAGTCTGTACTCGAGGGGAATCGTTTGAGGTTGAGTTTTGTGAAGGAGCAGTCATTCGAAGGCAACAGTTTTCTCGATGCGCTTGTCGCTGGGACGTACTATAGGCCGGGAAGCCCGAATTTTGCAGCGGCTGATTCGTTCGGAGTAGACAACGGCAGCAAGACCTTGTGGTTTTTTCAAGTGAAATCTGCAGGCTTGCCGCCTAAAGAGGGGGAGAAGGCTGTCAAATGGACGCATGTAGAAAAGTACTGGAGAAGAGCTAAACTCCACCACGGCGCGCCAATCAAGAAGAGGTTTGTGTATGCTTTTGTGGTTCCAGAGGGCAAAGTATGGAACAAGGCGACCGAGACTTGCGAAGAGGGTGGTGGACGTGGTGATTGGCTGCGCAACGTAACTGACGGTTTCAAATCGGCGTGTGATGTATGCGTAATTGAGATGCCATTGCAGTTGTAGTATGTTTTGCGTCGCAGCCTCTCGTACTGGAAAAGCAGAGTTGTGGAGAGTTTCTACACGGCTAGCAATGGAAAATGTAACACAGCTTGTCATGGTACACGGCCACCGGAATTTCCGAGTTTCATCAAGAGAGATTTCTGGCCCGTCGACTTGTGCGGATGCAAGAGTAGATCAGGTGGTATTTCAAGGCCACGGATTCCCACCACAAGGCATCATCAAATCGGGGTCTGAGGTTTCTTGAGGTTGTTTTCAGTCAACTCCTTACTTTGTTTCTGTCATGCATGCTGCAAAACACAGTGGACAAATGAACGAATCTGGCAGCTCCCAAGTTTGAACTGTCGCATTTTGCTCGTCACGTTTTGTTTGGTGTGGTTTTTTATGAGGGTGGGTCGAAATCTCATTTCTTCTGTCATGTTAGCTTTTTCCTCGCGAGTTCAGCATATAGTTGTCGTTTGGTCTATTCCTTTCGCCTCTTCGCGCCTCTTCCTTGGATCACCTTTATTTAATGGTTGAAAGCAAGCCGACGAATATCGTCGGCGTTGCTAGTCTCAAGCTGGCTTTGTTGTCTCGCTCATTGTTTCAGCCTTGAGAATGGAAGCATGGACGGACTCCTCATGTATGCATGCTTCAGGCAGTGGCATTTCATTAGCGCGACAAGTGGAAAGTCTGCACTGTACCGAGCCAAAAGATGTTTGGAAACGGCCTAATAGTACGCACCAGAAAATGTT